CTGCCCTCTGCTCGGCAGCTTTGGTTCCCCCAGCCGCCGTCGTCTTCGCGGCTGCCCCCCCCCCCCCCCCCAGGCTTGCCCACGAGGTCTCCTGTGGGGCCGCCGTGCGGCCCTCCGTGCTTTTGAGTCGGGCGCCTCTGCAGGGGGAAGATTCAAGAATAGTCCAAAATAGTCAGGGGATGATGTTTTGAGTGTTGTAATTCTGACCATCTGCGGGAATATTGTTTCTTTTGAGTCGCATCTGTACTCAAAAGTGTTTCGTCGTGTTCTTAATTCTGATCATTTTTTGAGTATTGTATGTTTCGTCGAAAATCCCCCTGTAGGGGGACACGCCCGACTTCAGCGTGGACGCAAGTGCTTCAAGTGGTCGCGGCTCGATCAATGACGGCAGTTTCAGGGCGGGTTACAGGGATGGGCTGCGAGCGGGGGTCGCCCGGGAGGGGCGCATCGCAGGGGTGTTCCCCAACACTGGGATTCTTCCACTTGCGTGTCCGGTGTCCTTCCTGGGGACCAGCGTGGGGACGGAGTTGGTGGCCATACCCGACGTCGCTGGGATATCTGAAGGATGTCTTTGCGCTGCCCCTGGCGTCAGCATGGCCCGCTTCGCACCCGAGTCTCCTGCGCGGACGAGCACGACTAATGGGGGGGGTCGTGCTCACGCGGCGGCGCCCGGGGTGACGATTAGAAAAAACCGGCCGCGGGCTGGAAAACTATGTGTTTATATAAAAAACCGTTCTCCTCCAGTCGGAAAATGGTGCAGAAGTCGCAGAAACTATGTGTCGAATCGTTCTCTCCCATTTTTTTATCAATCGTCATCCCGCATTACCATACGGTAGGTTTGCGTCGTGTCGACCAGCGGCGACCCCAGCGCGGGCGTTTAAGGTTGAACGCCGCCGGCGACCCAGCATCGGTCGATGTTGAACGATCGGACGTTGCGGAGACGGCCGATCTTTCAAGGTTGAACGATCCCTGCGGTGTCAAAAACCAACGCTGGGGTCGGCACGACACGAACCTGCCGTAACGAGATCTAGAGGGGCGACGCTAGTGCAATCAAGGCTCCTCTGAGCCGGGGCGCGGAGCCCTGCTTGCCAGTGCGCTGCCCCGCCTGCGCTCCCGGCCCTGGTCTCGAGGCCACGCTCACGTTCCTCTCTCTACAGTCGGGGCGCTGAAGAGGGAATCTTTTTCGCTGGGGAGGGGCTCGGTGTTCCTCGATTGTTTCACGGCTTGCCCAAGGTTTTCTTCGGGTCTTCGACGGGAAGCCGAACACTCAACTTCTGGATAAAAGGGGGCCTCGTTCCCGAATTAGGGTTGGTTCCTTAGGTCAACGCCCCGACTGCACTCACTCCCCCCTCCACCCTCTCCACCTCCCGTCTGGGCTCTCTCTCTGCACTCCGGCCCCGCGCACGCCAAAAACGAGAGCCACGACCACAGCAGCATCGTCTAGCCTGTCCCCCCATCGCTGCTGGGTCACGGTATCTCGGCCGCTCCAGCCCGGCCTCCTGTAGGTATGCTCCTCCCGCCGCCCCTGTGTCCGAGCGGGGCCTCAGCGAGATCTCCTTCTCCGCCTCCACGTGGGTGGCCATGGGCCCCTGGCCCCCCCAGATGGGATAGGGGGGGAGACGGGACGACGACGAGGACGCTGACGCCGACGCCGACGACGACGACGGACGACGACGACGATGACGACGACGAGCCACCCCACACCCACAGGGAGAGGAGGGGGGGTGCACCTGCACCATTCACCACGTCACGCCCAAAGGGCCACGACCACAAGGGGGGGTGACCGATCCCGTTCGCGAGGCCTTCCCGAGGCTCACGGGATTACCCATCCAGCGAGGGAGGGGGGCTCAATCCCAGATGCATTGGGGGGGAAGTGGGGGACAGCCTTGGATCAGATATCCCCACCTAAGTGGCTAAGTCGGCCAGTGGGATCAAGGCCACGCCAGTGGGGATAGGGATCGGTTAAAAGATGCACAGAAGAGGGAGCTGTAGAAGCTCGACTAGGAAAGGACGTGGGTGCATCGCTGGTCTGGAAGAGGGCGCAGTCGGAGCTCGACGAGGGTGGGGGCCTGGGTGCATCGCTGGTCTCGAAGAGGGCACACAGTCGAAGCTCGGCGAGAGCATCGGCCCCGCGACCCTGGCGCCCCGACTGGCCCCCCCGTTGCGCCGTGCGACGGGCCAGGCAGCCATTCCGCGGCGTGCGCGCCGGGGGGGCAGGCCTGCTTCCGGGGCCTCGGACGCCACGCCAGCACCGAGGGCCCGTGGCCGAAGCGGTTAAGCGCTTCCGTGTGAGCGGATCCGTCGTGATCCCTGGGGCCGTTGCTCGGGCCGGACGAAAGCGGGGGATTGGGAAAGGGGGGGGTACGAAAGTTGCTGCATGCAGCTGGTTTCGGCCCCATCGAGGGGCCCACTCCTCGATACATAGCCGCCTCCCGGCGCCGGGAGGCGCCAGGAAAATCAGCTACGTGAGCTGATTCTCAACCCCCCCCTTTGCTATCCCCCCCTTTCGCCCGACCCGTGTTGCCAACGCCCTGCCCGAATTATAGCCGCAGCATGTCGCGAGCGGAGAGCGCGCTTGGGCCGGAGAGTGCGCGGGGCAAGCGGACGGGTGTTCCTCCCGATCTGCCGCGGGTCCCGGGTCTGGCCCCGGCCGTGCCCCCCTCGCTCGGGGGCGTCCCAGAGGGGGGGGCGATGGCCAGGTGGGGACCTGGATGCGGAAAGTGGAACATATACATTACCAGTGGCGGGCTTTTTTTCAGTCCCAAGACTTTTTGTGGGTCGGGGACGTCGGCGGGGTGGTGTGGTGTATACTTCTCTCCCAGCTATGCGGGGAAAGCAGCGCAAAATGTATACACCAGGATCCCGTATACACCAGGATACGCCTTTCTGTGCAAGCTCCAGGGCAGGGCCGGAGAAAGCGTCGGTGTATAGAGTTCGTTTCCCTATGGATAGCACGGCTGCTGGGGCCGAGGTGCGGTCCGGAATGCTGGCTCACAGTGGGGACCCATGCCAAGAAGCACCTTGCTTGCCTCTGGAAGGTGCCCTGGGTGTCTTGCGTTCCGATTGCTCTACGATGGTCAGGTCCCCATACAGACCATCAACGGACATCCTGGGGTCTCAGGGTCGGGCTTCTTGTGGAAGGTTTCTTGTGGTCGAGCTCCTACTGTAGCATGTCGCGCCGCTGCTACTTGCCCACCACGCTTCAGCGCGACACGCTATCCACGTCCAGGTTCCCCAACGTCACCGCGGAGCGGAGCGACACGGTATAAGGTCGCAGGACATAGCGTTTCGCCGGGGGCACCGCCGCGACACGCCAAGCACAAGTTCCTGATCGTACCTCCCAGATTTCGGGGCCCCGTGTCTTTGTCTTGCAAGAGGCGTCTTATTCGCCCCCCCCTTGCGTCCACGCACGTGCCCGCGGCCATGATGCGCGCCCCTCTTCCTGTCGGCGGCGAGCTCAGGAGGGGGAAGTTAGAGAGGGAGCATGCCTCCTCAGAATGCGGCGAAGCTTCTCCGAAGCCCTCCGGCCTTCTGAGAAGCCGTCCTCGTCTTTGGAGAAGGCTCAGGGCACTCTTTCTAGGCCTCCCAGATGGGGTCGGAGTAGATGGGGTCGGCGGATCGCGCCGCATCGTCGATGCATCGGCGATGCGGCTCGACGCGGAGCCCGACTTTTCTTCACGTCGACGTCGTCGATGCATCGCCGACGTCGACGACGCATTGCCGGTGCATCGCCGATGCATCGCCGATGCATTGCCGATGCATTGCTGATGTGTCGGCGATGCGGCGCGATCCTCCGCCCCCACGTAGGAGGCCTCTACTCTTCAGAGGGCCCGAGTCCGCCGAGGCCTGCCGAGCCTTCTGGAAAGGCCCGCCGCGTCTGCGTTCCCCCCCGGAGCTTGCCGCCGCTTCCTGGCCCCCCCTCGTCGGCGCACCTTGACTGGCACGGAACCGCTCCTCCTCCTCCTCCTCCGCCTTCCTCCTCCTCCTCCTCCTCCTCCTCCTCCTCCTCCTCCTCCATCTCCTCCATCTCTTCCATTTCCTCCTCCTCTCTTCCTCCACCTCCTCCTCCTCTCTTCTCCTCCTCCTACCTCCTCTCCTCTCATCTCGATCCTCCTCCTCGATCCTCCTCCTCGATCCTCCTCCTCCTCCTCCTCCCTCGCCCCCCTCTCCTCCTCCTCCCTCGCCCCCTCGCCCCCAACAGGGCTCGTCTCGACCCTTCCGACCCGATTCGATCGGATCTCGGATTCCGAAAGGTACAGCCAAGCCGCACAGGATGGGTGGGCAAGCTTCCCAAGGGTACCTTTGCATCCTTGCCCCCGCGGTCCATCCTTAGCGACCTCTTCGCTCGCCAGCCTCGTTCGCACAACGCTCACATGGGCCTCCAAGGCCCTTGCATCCTTATCCGCGCGTCCTTCTGATGCGGGTCGACTGTACCCATGCACGCCTCGCTGGCCTGCCGAGCTCCGTCGACTCGACTTCTCCCCACTCGGCTGCCGATCTCCGCCGATCCGATCCAGTCCTCCGAGGCGGGAATTTATACATGACCACCGCACTGCCGTTTTTTCACCGTTTCCAAAAAAGTGCCCCTTGACAATGGAAACGGCAAAAAAACGGTGACCGGAAACGGCAAGAAAACGGCTCCAGGATTGGAACCGGAGCCGGAACCGGTCAAAAAACGGCGACGGAACCGGTAAAACAACGGCGTCGGAACCGGCAAACAAACGGCAAAACCGAACCCGTAAAAAACCGGCTTTGTCGTTTCCAGGGCCCACTAAGCGCCTGGAGGATCAATGGTTATATATATATATATATAGATACACACATGTATATATATATATATATATACATATATACATATATATATCCACATCCTTCGCCCGCTGGGGCACCAGGACGTCGTCTCCCAGGCGGTGGATATTCATACCTCCCCGCTTCGCGAGTCCGACCGCCGATGCGGCTCCTCGATGCGAGCTCGGGCGCTCTCCCTGCGCCATTCCCGAGGCGGCGCCGTGGGCGGGGCGCCGCACGCGGCCCGGGCCGCGGACGGGCGAGGCGGCGACAGCGAGGGCAACGAGGTCGCGGCCGCCATCGTGGCGCGCATCCGGCGGGCCCGAGACGCACTGGCGCTCGGGGTGGCCGAAGTCGAAGAAGAAACAACACACACACACACAATGAGGCATAAACCTTTGGCGATCCTTCTTTTTGGTTGCGACCGCGCAGCAGAGGGCAGGCGGCGAAAGGGGGTCCGGGGCACGGGCCAGCCCAATTAGCTACTAGGCGCCACGCGAGCCGGCCGGGCAACTCAGAAGCGGCAGCTGGACTTTTGGCGATCCGCGCGGAGCGCCCAAAGTTTATGTTTATCTTGGCATCGCTCGGACGTGTGCATTTGTCCTCCGGCGAGGACCATCGAGGAGCATCCTGGATCATTTGGCGAAAAAACCACGCACGAAACCGCAAAAACACAGGGAATGGACGTCCGAGCGATGGCCAGAAGTCGAAGAAGAACACAAACACACACAATTAGGCATAAACCTTTGGCGGTCCGCGCGGAGCACCCAAAGTGTATGTCTATGTGTTGTTGTTTCTTCTTCTACGAAGTCATGTCGTCAGTTCACGTCGGTTGCCATGATCAGGCAGACAGGTATCGGGTTGGGAGGATGGGGGTGGGAGGATTGAGGATCTCCCTGCCCGTAGGCGGCCGAAGGTATCGTTCGTTGCGAACGGATGTTGTGGCTCGTGCCCTTCATCCTCCCAAATCCCTTCCTCCCAACACGGCAAGTGTTCTCCTCACATGTGGGAAGCCCGGGCATTTTCTGTGGGTGGAGGGCAAAGGGTGAAGTCTGACATGTCGTTTCGATGGAGTTTCGAGCTTTGCATCTGCACGAGGTGAATCACAAGACGGATTGATTTTCGAGTTGCGAAAGCCCATATGGATTTCACCCTGAGCCCTCCACCCTCGGAAAATGCGCAGGAAGCGGCGGGAAACGGGTCCTGAAGCTTCTCGCCGTTGTGGGCTTCCTGGGGCTCTCTGCGCGCCCCAGGGTTGTCAGAACACGACCGAGGATGAAGAGTTGGTCCTGGGAGGAGGAGGGAGGTGGGAGGAGGAGGGAGGAGGGAGGAGGGAGAAGGGAGGAGGGGGGATGAGGGAGGAGGGACGGGTGCAGGACCCGTCCCCCGCAGGACCCGCTGCTTCCAAGGCGGGGCAACTAACCCCCCGTGCGCACGAGGGCGGGGCCCATGAAGCGCGCGGGGGGAGGAGGAGGAGGGGAGGCCGAGGGGAGGAGGAGGAGGGGGAGGACGGGGGGAGGAGGGGGGAGGACGAGGAGGAGGAGGAGGAGGAGGGGCAGGAGGAGGAGGAGGGGAGGGGGAGGAGGGGGAGGGGGGGAGGAGGAGGAGGAGGAGGGGAGGAGGGGAGGAGGAGGAGGAGGAGGAGGAGGAAGGAGGAGGAGGAGGAGAGGAGGAAGAGGAGGAGGAGGAGGAGGAGGAGGAGGAACATCCAGAGCCAGCGCGCTGCGCCTGGGGAGAGGCCGGACGGAGCGACTCCTCTGGCATGGCGGGTCGAGCCGCCCCGTGCGCACGAGAGCGGGCCCCATGAAGCGCGCGAGGGAAGCATCCGGAGCCAGTGCGTTGTGCATGGATCGGGGGTGGGCAGAACCCCCAACAGTGACGCGTCGATTAGTGAGTTGTCCGTTTTCGGTTCTCATCCGCCCATCCGCCGCCCATGGAGTGGATCTTGGCTGTTTCTGGTGCCCGTTTCGAGCGGGCGGAGCCTCCCCCACAATGGACGCACTGCTGAAAGCGGTCGCACTGAGCAGAGGTTCGGAGCCAGACCCCCCCCCCTCCAGGGGTGGACAGAACCCCCACCCTGACACGTCGATTAGTGAGTTGTCCATGTTCGGTTCTCGAGATGGCGCCGTGGCCTCTATTTTCCAGGCCTGCGCCCGCCAGGTTTGGGCCTCGGGTCGTTTTCCCTAAACCACGTTTTGCTAAAGGGGGGCCTGTCCATACCCGAAATCAAACCCTCAGAGGGTCCAATCCGACAAACAGCAGTAAGGAACACATCTCCCGTGAGCCCCCGCCTTTCCTTACGCATTTCCCGCATACGCGGCCGAGAGAAAGCCGGAATCCGCAAAAGAAAGACGGATCTTGAATTCCAAGGCTCTTACATCATCGTTAGCATTATCATCAGCACACCATATAATCATAAACATCGTGACCATCATAACCATCATATTCATCAGACCCATCATGACGCGCGCGAGGGAAACATCCGGTGCCAGTGCGTTGTGCCTGGGAGAAAAAGCTGGTTGAGACGACTCGTCTCCATGTAAGAGGAGATGGGAAACAACATACAGTGCCAGCGCGTTGTGCACGGGAAAAAAAAACTTGATGAGACGATTCGTCTCCCTGTGAGGTAAGAGGGGACAGAGGCCTCTCGTCCGCCAAACGCGCCCCGTGTTCAGGTGTGGTATGACCAAAACGTCAATGATATGGCTCTGGCTGGGTGAGAAACTGACGGAGAGATCGCCACCAAGCGCACGGGCCCTGAGCCAACGGGCCCTGAGGCCTCTCGCCAGCTCTCCAGGATTCCCAGATGGGGTCGGAGCAGATGGCGTCGGAGGATCGCGCAGCAACCGCCGATGCACCCGCGATGCGGCTCGATGTGGAGCCCGATTCTCCATGCCGACGCCGCCGAGGCATCGTCGATGCGGCGCGGCCCTCCGGCCCCATCTCCTCGGACCCCATCTGGGAGACCTCTACCATCAAAAACCCTAATAAAGACGCGCGACTTTGCTCAGGGTACCCTTGCGTCCTTGCTCTTCCTTGCTGAGGTTTTCGTCGTCCGCCGCCCCAAAAATCCCAACTTCGGCCTTCAAGGGTCTTGCGTCCTTGCCGCGCGTCCTTATTACGGTTTTTGACTGTATTCTAAGGGGGCCTGCCTGGGCCCCCCGCACGGGCCCCGAGAGCGTGTGAGCGCGGCGCCGGGCGCAGAGCTGGTTCCGAGGGCTCGAGACGCGCAGACCCTCCGACCGTCGGCGGCGAGCGAGGGGAGGAAATTTACCAGCCTGGAACATATCCCTATCCCTATGCTGGGCATCTCCTCATCACGCTGCCAATCTTAGGGATCCCATATCTTTTGAGAGCGCATGCATCCCTAAGACTGTCCTCGCCTTTTGGCGTGTCAATCTTACGGATAGGGACAAGTTCGAGGCTGGTTCGAAATGAGCAGGAGAAGGCCCTCCTCAGAAGGCGGGGCTTCAGTTGAGTCGGGCCTGTCCCTCTACAGGGGGGAAGTTCGAAAATAGGAAAGGCATAGTCTGGTGACTATTCTTTGACAATTCTAGACGCTGCGCGTATCCCCACCAGCCCGTCCAGAAATGAGCCCCAGGGGAGTGGCAGTGATGAGGGAAGCGGGGGATCATGCAGAAGAACAAAGGACGGGTAAGCCTCTATGTGCCCCAAGAGGAGGAGGATGTAGGAAGAGTCGTCGTCGTCGGAGTAGGAGGAGGCAGAGGAGGAGCAGGAGGAGGAGCAGGAGGAAGAGGGGGAGGAGAGGAGATGGAGGAGGGCGAGGACGAGGAGGACGAGGAGGAGAAGGAGAAGGAGGAGGAGGAGAAGGAGGAGGAGAGAGGGAGGGGGAGGAGGGAGGAGGAAGAAAAAGAGGAGGAGGAGGAGGAGGATGAGGAGGAGGAGGAGGAGGACAATGGCGAGCTTGGAGGCCCCTTGGGCCGCCTTTGGGGCCTCTTGGCGGTCCCGGGGGCCTGTCGCTTATCTCGGGGAGCCTCTTCGGGCCTCTCGGGGATGCCTTGGGAGTCTCTTGGAGGCCTCTTGGGCGCCTTTTGGGGCGTCTTGGGGCTCTCTTGGGGCGCTTTTGGGGCGCTCTTGGGAGCCTTCGGGCCGCTTCTGGGGCCATCTTGGAGGAGATCGGGGGGGTAGTCAATAAGCCTTGCCCCTCTAGAGTGCCTCGAATCGCCTCTTGGGCCACCCAAGAAGCCAAAATCCTTCCAAAACCTAGGGAAAATCAATGCTTCGTGCTTTCTCGCCTTTTCGCTCTTGGAGCCGTCTTGGGCCATCGTGGAGGCCCCAACGACCCGCGGAACCCTCCGTCCAGGTCCAGGGGAGGGGGTAGGGGGAGGGGTAAACCCCTCCCCGAAGGGGAAGAAGGGGGTTGGAAGAGGAAACTCTCTAGACCACCGACGCCCAGAGGGCTGGTGGGATTTTTGAACATTTTGGGATATTTTTCTGAGTATTTCGAATTTGTCGCCCAAGATCCGCCTGTAGGGGGACAGGCCCGACCTAAGGTTTGAGCGCATGCCCTAGGAGCTCACCGGGGAGATCACGCCCTTCGGCTCGCACGTGAACGGCCTCCGGACTGCCACCTCCGACTGCGACCTGGCCTACTCTCTGGAGGACGGGGGGCGGGACGGCTTCTCAATATTCAATTCGCCTCGAAGAGAACTGAAAAGCAGCACATTGCAGTGTAAGTTTACGGTGATTAGAGTTTGTTATGTGTATATATATACAAGTCTATTATTATTTGTATACAAGTCTATATGTTATATGTGTGATAGAATGTGTATTATTTATGTGTTAAGTCTAAAAAGTCTCCTTTCGGGCAACTTCAGGGGGGGATGGCTCAGGGGGGGGACATGGACGCCCAATCGCCCACTCGTCGCCAACAGGATCGACAGCCCACCCCGCTCAGGAGAGTGCGGTCTCGCTGTCGGGGACCTGTCGCCGATCGTCAAGGGTTCCCTCGAGGGCGCGAAGTTATTCGCGCTTCGCGGTCCTCGTTTCTCCTCCCCCTCCTCCTCGTCCTCCTCTTCTCCCTCTGGGGGGGCGGCGCGAGAGCGCGAAGTTATTCGCGCTTCGCGCTTCGCGGAGCGCGAAGCGCGAAGTTGGGAGCCCTAGATCGTTATCTTCGATGTGTCGCCGACTCAGGCTCGATGTTCCCCCCCCTGAGCCGGTTCCCCCCAGCGTTGCCCTCATATCTTCCCTCGTCGCTTCATCCGCTGGCGTCGTCCAGGTGGCGTGCTCGGAGAATATGTCGTGGGTTGGCGGTGGAGCCGGAACATGGTTGAGTTGCCTCCATGGTGCCCTGGGTTTCTTTGGTTTCGATGGTTTTGTGGTGGAAAGCGCGGCGTTCCCGCAAAACAAAGGAATGGACGTCCTGGGGTCTCAGGGTTGGGTTTCTCATGGAAGGTTTTTTGTGGTCGAGCTCTTGTTGTACCCCATCAGTGAGCCAGGACGTGTAGTTTGGAGTGTCGGGGGATGGATGGGGCGACACCACCCCCCGGGGGGCCACCTCCAGCGAGGGGATCCTCGCTGCCACCCCGAGCCGGTGATCGTGGATATCTTGAGCGGGGAGGGGGGCCCTCGCACTGGTGGCGGTGGTGCCGGTTTTCACTGCTCCTGGCAGTGAGGGCGAGAGTGGGATCAAATCAATGGGAAGGAGCCTCTTTCCTTGAGGGAGAGAGAGATAGAGAGATCGAGGAAGAAAAAGCGGCACAAGCATAAACTCTGGCGTTGCGCGCGGATTTTCTTGGGTCCGCGTTGGGCACCCCCGGCGGGGCCTCCGGCGCCGCAGAGCCACGAGATCCGCGCGGAGCGCCCAAAAGTTTCTGTCTATGTCCCGTTTTTTCTCCCTCCACCTCCTCCTCCTCCTCCTCCTCCTCCTCCTCCTCCTCCTCCTCCTCCTCCTCCTCCTCCTCCTCCCTTCCCCTTCCCCTCCTCCTTCTCCCCCTCCTCCTCCCCCTCCTCCTCCTCCTCCCCCTCCTCCTCCTCCTCCTCCTCCTCCTCCTCCTCCTCCTCCTCCAAGGGAGGGGCACCTGCCATGGATAGGGGAGCAGGCCGAGGTATGCCTGGAGGCGCGTGGCGAGAGGCGGCGGAGAGCATGGCTCGAGGTCCGACGGGCGCGGCGCCACCGAGGGGCCCCTCCGCGGCGTCGCCCCTGACCGCAGCTGTCGCCGGCCGCGCCCTCGAAGCCGCCGGGCCGGGCACGCCCGGCCGGCCCCCAGGGCAGGGGATGACGACGAGCCTCGAGCAGTGGCGAAGCGGCCCGGCTCGCCTATGGCCCTATCAAAGAGTGTCCTAAGGACCTTTCGTGGTTTCCCAGAAGTGTTCTTAGAACATTGTCGTGGCTGGGCATATAGGAACATGTCGTGGCAGGCATATAGGAATGCCGGGACGGTCGGTACCTGCTCAAAGCCCGCCTGCGCGCACGCGCCAGCCCCGAGCGGCTCGGCGGGAGAAGGAGCCGCACGTCTGCGGCAGCTCTCTCCGCCCCGTCGTGGGCGAAAGTCAGGCGATCGCAGACGTGGGTCAGGGGGGCGTGGATTAGCGACGGGTCCCGCTTCCGTGGGAGATCGCAGACTTTTCCGCCGCCGAGCGAGGCGGCACCGGCCGCCTTCTGGGGAGGGCACCTCCCCCAATGCACGGATCTGGCGGCCGCGCGCCAGATCCGTGGATCGCTAAGCCTTGTGTGCGCGCCCCCGAGAAGAGCGCGTCCGGACTCACAGGGGGCCACATGCGAACCCTGCCCCCACCCCCCACGATTTCTGGGGGGGAGGGTGGGGTTCACTCCGTTCGGGAGCTCCCGAGCGAAGTGAACCTCACCCTCCCCCTCAGAAATCGTGGGGGGAGGGGAGGAGGAGGGGGAGGAGGAGGAGGAGGAGGGGAGGAGGGGGAGGAAGGAGGAGGAGGAGGGGAGGAGGAGGAGAGGAGGGAGGAGGAGGAGGAGGAGGGGGAGGAGGAGGAGGAGGAGGATGAGGGAGGAGGAGGAGGAGGAGGAGGAGGAGGAGGAGGAGGAGGAGGAGGAGGACCCAGCCCCTCGGGCCGCGCCCCCGCGGGGACAGCGGGCGCTGTCTCTCGCGCGGGAGCCCCCCCCCGCGCGGAGCACGTCTCCGTGCCGCCGCGCCTCCGCGGGCAGCGCTTCCCCGCGGGTGCGGGCCGCGAGGGCACGGGCAGCCACGGGCAGGTGGCCTGTGCAGTGGAGGCCCGTGCCAAGCAGCACCCTGCGCGCCTCCAGGGTTCGGGAGGGGAAAAAACACGGACACAATTAATCGACGATTCCCCAGAAAATATGGGAAAATATGGGGAGTGGGGGGGAGACGAAAATCCAGAAAATATGGGAAAATATATAGAGAATATTTTATGTTGTGTGTATTTATTTGTGTGTCCCAGGGCCCCTTCAAGGGTGCCCTGGGGTTCCTTGGATCCGGTGGCTGCTCGTAGCTCCTGCCCCTCCCCAGAGGGAGCTCGCGAGCGCCGCGCCGGTGCGTGGCCGAGGCACAGTGCCCGTGTGCTCTGTGGCGCCCGCGGCTCGGGCGCGGCGGTGCCGCGCCGCGCCCTCCGGCGTGGTACCCCCCTTTTTCGGGCCCTCGATCGATCGTCTTCGCGCCCGACGGGTTTCGTCGTCGTCGTCGTCGACCTCGGCGCAGTCTGGGCAGAAGTTTCATCGATCGATCGATCCTCTTCGCGCCCCACCCCACGGAGTTCGTCGTCGCCGTCGGCCTCGGCGCAGTCTGGGGAAGCATCAACGCAGCGCGCACCCGAACCGTAAACACTTTGGCCCGTGAGCCGCCTCGCGCGGCGTGCGTCGAAGCCACTGTACTTTTAGCCGTGATCCTGAGAGAGACAGTGTGTCTGGGGCAGCTCAGGGAGTGCTCCTCGTGATTCTGCTATGACGGCATCGGTTGCGGCACTCTCGCGCGCAGGTGCCGCGCGAGGCTTAGGCGGCTGACCTGGCCAAGCCGTTATCCGGCTCGGCACCCAGACCCTCACGATGCGCAGCGGTGGGCGCTTCTGGGTCTCTGGGTGTGTCCGTCTCGCCTGCTCTTGATTGGCGGGGGCAATTGAAGCGCTCGTAATGACGAGCGCATGGTGCACATCTGCGCGCTAGCCTCTGTTCTGTGCCGTTGCAGACTTTGGTCAGCGTGCCTTCGCGTCCCGGGCCAGAAGATGCAAACGCTGGTCGGTGTCCCGCAGGACGGAGACTCGGAGTGGCACCTGTTCGCTGCGACGCTGCGCGCGCGCTACATTGCCCTCCCCCCGCCATGATCAGCGCGCGGTTTGTCGTTGGGAATTACACGCGGCCTTTTCGAATGTTTCTCTCATCCGCCAACACCTCATGTTGACGCGGCCGGCACTGGCACCTGCAGGCGATATTTCACCCCTCTGCGTCATGTGGCGAGGAAGACGTGTAGAGCTGAGTGTCATGTTGATGCGGTCGGCACTGGCACCTGCAGGCGATATTTCACGCCTCTGCGTCAGGTGGCGAGGAAGGCATGCAGAGCTGAGTGTCAGATGTCACAAACCTCATGATCAGAGCGATGGCAGTCGTGTTGCCGTCACTCTCGGCGAAATGGCAGGAGGCTTGCCTAGAAGACAGCCGTTCCGTTGCTCGGGCGAGGTCGGCAAGAATCGACAAAGCTATACCAGCATAGGTATAAACTGGCGGAGCTCCGTACGGATTTCTTGGATCTGCGCTGAGGCCCCTTGGCGGCGCTGGAGGCGGGGCGCCCCGCGCGCCAGGGAAAGGGCTTCGGTGCTGATTTGCAAGAGGCCCGCGCGGAGCTCCGAAAGTTCAGGCCTGCGATGTTTCCTCGCTGCCCTGGCCGACGAGGGGCAGAGGGCGGCCCCAGCCGCTCCAGACACGATTCTGGAGCGCCGCGGGGGAGGACACACAGCTATTCATCGTCGACTCCCAGGGAGACTGTGGGAAACAATGGGAAGTGGGGGGGGGAAGACGAAAGCCCAGAGAATAGATTGGAAAATGTGGGGGATCCTGGTATTCGTGTGCAGTGCCGTTTTGAATACATGCTCCGCTTGCGGATCATGTCTTAAACATGCAGGGATTTAGTTCTAAAAACAACGAGGAGATCATGGATAGATTTATTCATACCTTAACCATGTATTGCAAATCCTATAGTTCAAAAATCCTATGTACTAAACACTGCCCTGTGTGTTTGCTTCCTGACCGAAGCGGCGGCCCGGCGCCTCGCGCGGCTCCCCTCCCCCCTGCGTGCCCGGCGCGTGCCCGGCGCGTTGGCACGGCTGGCCCGCGCCGCCCGCGGAAGCCCTCGCGATCGACGGCGGGCGGTGCCCTCCGGCCGAGGCCCCGGGCTAGAGCTGGACCGCCTCGCCGGCGGTGTTGGCCCTGGGTGCGAGGCAGCATCGAGCTCCTCCTCCTCCACTTCCTCCTCCTCCTCCACCTCGTCCTCCTCCTCCTCCTCCTCCTCGTCCTCCTCCTCCACCTCCTCCTCCTCCTCCTCTTCCTCCTCCTCCTCCGCCTCCTCCTCCTCCTCCACCTCGTCCTCCTTCTCCTCCTCCTCCTCCTCCTCCTCCTCCTCGTTGTGTGATGGCCCTACCAGATGGGGTCGGAGTGAAGCGGGTCGGAGGATCGCGCCGTATCGCCGATGCGTCGCCGGTGCGGCTCGATGTAGGGCCCGATTTGCTTCACGTCGACGGCGCCAATGCATCGCCGACGTCTTCGATGCATCGGCAGTGCATCGCCGATACATGGCCGATGCATCGCCGATGTATCGGCGATGCGGCGCGATCCTCCGTCCCCATCTACTCCGACCCCATCTAGGAGGCCTCATAGTGACGGCCCAGGCTTCCGCTCGCGGGCGGCCGGTTCGAGTTTCGCCTGCCGCATCCGAGCCTTCCAGGGGCCTCGCCGCTCGTCGTACCAAGCTCATCGAGTGGGCCTGTTGAACTCAAACGCGGTCCAGTTGAGGCAGCGGTAGTTGGCCTTCGTGTGGGGCCCTCGTCGCCACGGCTGGACGCGGCTCGGATAGCCTTGTGCGTCTGGACCCCGGGAGGGTTCCGGGGACCGATGTTGAGGTTCGGGTTGCCTCATGTCATGGTCATGTCATCGCTGTTTGTCTCATGCCATGGTCTCGTCCATTTTTGAAGCTTCGCGCGTATTGTTTGGATCTGTGCATGAGCCCCCCGTGGCGGCGCCTCCGCTGCCGCATCTGCCACGTATGCGGCTCTGCCTCCTCGTCGTTTCACGGCTGGACTTTGAGAATATGTTTGGGCCCTTGTACAGTGTAACTCGGCGGCCGCCGTGTTTTCCTCTGTCTCACGCTGTGGCGCAGCTCCGCTGTAGTAATATATACGGTGCTTGAGGTTGAAGGCACAAACAGCTGTGCGGGTTTAAAACCAAAACCAAAAAATCTGGCGCGTTCCGCGCCCCAGGGAGGTGGGGTCCAGCGCCGATCCAAGACATCCGCGCGGACCTCCAACTCGTTGTTTATGCCGTTTTGTGTTCCTCGGGTCGCCCAGCGGATTTGATGTAGCGAGCTCCGGGTAGCATCTTCGGGCGCAGCGCCCAGTCCAACGTCATTGGCCACCTCGTCTGCGCACAGGGCTCCCTGCCATGCCTCGCGGAAGGCGCCTTGCAAAGTGCTATCTCGGCGCGCACTTCCCGAACACTGGGCCTGCCCCATCTGGCGCTCGTCGTTAACACCTGATCCGACGACTACCTGGCATGCAAGGCGGGGCCTTGATAAGCATGCGGTGGTGCTGAGGAAGTGCGTGCAGAGCCTGAGAAGTTTAGCCTCGCCACGAGCGTCCCGCCGAGAGGAGGCCTACTTATTGTACTCAGAGCATCGGGCGATGAGTGCACAACCCCAAAGCGCTGTACGATCGGACCGAGGTACAAGATCGAGGTCAGTTCGGGGAGGGTACCCTAATGTTCTCAATGTTGGTTTGATGCTCTTGCGCACCCTGGGGGAGGATCCCCTCCAGTAATGTATGGTTTGGGGTGTCTTGGCCGCCTGAGGGCCTCATGCTCTTGAGGGATGTTAGTCTGTCCTAGGTCCAGCCGTACTTGTTGTTCCTCCTCGTCTTCCTCTTCCCCTCTCACCCGTGCCTCGCCTTGGCCAGGAGGGGGGTGCGAAGCCCATCGTGGTGCTCCAGCGCTTCGCGAGCGAGCTCCCGAAGCACGGCTTCACCGGAATCATCACGGTGTTCCAGGCCTCCGTGCCCCTGGTCAAGGCCCGCCGGCGCTACCCCCAACTCACCACTTTGAAACATATCCCTACACATGGTTCATTTCTAGTGCTTCGAAGGTTCTCTGACTTTCTGGAGGCCAAGATCCTTTCACCCCGGGCCTCTTCCTGGCCACTAGGGGGCCAGGAACGATTAGAAACGAGCAAAATTAGAAGTGAGTACGATTAGAAATGTACGACTTGTAGTATCCCTGTGTTTGGCGTCATCTTACCTCCGGGTCCTACGGATTCCCCTGATTTTCTAAGGGCACATCCCTAAAATGGTCAACGCTTTTGGCTGGCCGATCTTAGGGGTGGGGATAAGTTCGAGTCTGGTCATCAAAGCGGTCGCGAAGACATTTCGGAGAGCAACTGTGTCTCGCCCTGCGCGGAATTAGGCCCTGCCCCTGGGCTCTCGCTTCGGGTCCTAGGTTTCACAGGCATGTCAGATCCCCCGTGCGCGAACCCAGCACAAGCGTTGATCTCTGCAGTGCAGTAGGTGCATCGAATAAGACATCTGCCCGCCGGCAGGTGCCCCACGGAAATGTCCTTCTCCCCGGACGGCCCCAGGGACCCACCGAAGCTCTGGGGCAGCGTTGGACCCTCAAGGCTCGACGAAGAAGGTGGCCCTAGATGTTTGCTTTCAGGATTTCTAGTCGTCTGTGCTTGGTGTACAGCAATCTGGCATCCCGAGGCGATCGACGAGAGCGGCGTGGAGGTCGACCTCTGCATCGGGAACCAGCTGGGGATCCGGAACAGCAAGCTGGTCGGGGCTTACTGCGGCCTCGACCCGCGAGTAGCAGAGGTTTCTTTGGGGGCCTGACCGTGGCGCCTCGCTCGCCTTTCGATCCAGATGTGGGCAAACTCCTGGACGTCAAGATTAGCTCCCCTGCGTCTTTTGAAGCAGGAAAAACTGCATGAGTAAAATGTGTCGAAGCTCCGCGCGAATTCCTTGGGTCGGTGTCTGGGCTTCCCCTGCCTCGGGCTCCGCCACTGGCGCGCGGAGCAGGCCGGGGAGAGGGGGGGGCAACGCAGATCGGAGAAATCCTCGTGGAGCTTGGAAGGTTAATGTTTGTGCCTTTTCTGTGTTTCCCCTAGATTCCTGGAACTCGCCCGAGAGTTCCAGGGATCAGTCTGCAGTCTGAGTTTGCAGCCGAGCGTGGACTCCTCATTGATTCTGTGGTGGAGGCTGCAAGGTCGGTCCTTCCCATGGGGGCGCGAGGTAGGAGCTGCGTCAGCGCGTTGATGGTTTGATTGGTCGGATCGTGCAGGTTGGCCGCTCCGTGAAGCAGTGGGCCAAGTCGATGGAGCTAGTCGGGAGCCGGGCGGCTTCAACTGCACCCGCCAGCAGGTCCATCCTCGCTCTCCATATGCCTTTCATGCCCTTCTCTTTAGGGGCAGGAGAGGGGAGAGGAGAAGCGAGGACGGCAATACCAGCGGATGCACCTGGAAGCCCCCGAGGAGCAGCGATGGCCACCTGAACTCCTACGCGTTCACTCTGATGACGCTCTTCTACCTGATGAAGAGGCGACCTCCGGTGCTTCCGAACCTCCAGGAGCCGGTCGACTGAAAGCCTGGGGCAGTCGGGAGCCCTGAGACGGGTGACGGGGGTCAATGCAAGCGGAAATCAGCCAGATCGCCCGTTCTTGCAGGATCCTGCAGGGGCAGGGTCGCATTGACCAGAGCTTGGGCGCAGGATCCTGCAGGATCTTGCAGGATCCTTCGCCTTGGCCCGGATTTGGGTGCAGGATCTTGCAGGATTCTGCGAGGCGTGACCAGGCTGGGCCTGGAATGACTCGGGTCAGAAGATCCCTCCACGGGGCAGGAGGGAGCGAGCGAGCGAGCGAGGGAGCGCCGACGCGGCCCCGCGCGTGCGCGAAGATGGCCTGACGACGGCTGCGAGGCCGTAGTCCTGCAGAGGGAGTCCGTCCATCTTCTTTCGTGCGGTTCCAAAAGGGACCCCGGGGAAAGGGACTTTTGAGACGGGCGTTGCCGAGTTCTCAAGTCCGCTCGGCTTCGCCCACAGGGTCGCCGCATGACGCTGCCACTCGCACTCATCGAAGTCTCAGATGCAACTTCCCGGTCTCAGAAGTCCCTTTCGATGGCGTCCCTTTTTAGGAAACGTATCATGCTTCTGGGACCACGTGAACGTCTCCTAGCCCCTTGGCAAAGTTATGGCTCCCGGGGGGGCAGGAGGGAGGGATGAAGGAAGAGACCGAAGGAGTGCAGCAGCATGCAGGGAGGGAGAGAAGGAGTTGGGGATTGAAGGAAGACGGAGGGAGGGATCGAAGGAGGGGGGGGGAGGGAGGGAGGGAGGGAGTGGAGGGAGGGATGGAGGCCGAATGGAGGCGGAGGCGAGGGAGACGCGGCAGCCGCACGCGCACGAGCCAGGGGCCGCAAGAGCGCCACGCAGCACCGTGTGTGGCATCGCCCGGACGTGTGCATTTTTTTTCTCGGCGAGAACCGTCGAGGACCATCCTGGACCATGGAGCAAAACAAAACAAACAAACAAAAAAACACGCGCGAAACCGAAACATGCACGGGAGATGGACGTCCGAGCGACGGCAAGCGGGGGAGTGGGCGGAGCACCGTGCGTCCTTCAAGAGCTGCCCCCCCCCCCCGCGGCCGCGGGGGGGCGGGGTTCGGCCTCCGAGGGGCCCCCTCGCTGGGCCCCGGGACTGGAGGAGAGGAGGAGGAGGAGGAGGAGGAGGAGGAGGAGGAGGAGGGAGGAGGAGGAGGAGGAGGAGGAGGAGGAAGGAGGAGGAGGAGGAGGAGGAGGAGGAGGAGGAGGAGGAGGAGGAGGAGGAGGAGGAGGAGGAGGAGGAGGAGGAGGAGGAGGAGGAGGAGGAGGAGGAGGAGGAGGAGGGAGGAGGAGGAGGAAGGAGGAAGGAGGAAGGAGGAGTCAAGAGCACCGGCAGGAGGCGGAGCTGGCCCCGGGGAAGGGGCCCAGAGCTCCAGGGATCCAGGGCCTGCGGGCACAAGGAGCACGACGCGGGAGGCCCGGGATGGCTCTCCCCGTCCCCCGAGCCCCCGCCGCGCCGCCTCCGCTCCCCCGCGCCCCCTCGGCTTCGGCGTCGCCTGGCCGCTTCGCACGGAGCGGCTGCCGGCCCCGACCATCCTCCTATCAGACACCAGGGCTCCTCCTCCTCCTCCCCCTCCGCCTCCTCCTCCTCCTCCTCCTCTTCCTCCTCCCTCCTCTCCTCCTCATCTTCCCCCTCCTCCTACCCCTCCTCCTCCTCCTCCTCCTCTTCCAAGGCATCAGCTCAAGGCGTTCACTCCGAGCATGCGGCAGGGGCTGCAACCGCGGCCTTGGTAACGCTGCTGCCCCCCAGCCCAGAGTCTATAGACCAGAGAGTCCTCATCCTCCCCTCTCCTCCCGCGCCCTCTCCTTCCTCTTTCTGCTCCCCCTCTGCTCCTCCTCCTCCTTCCCCTGCTCCTTCTGCTCCCCCTGATCCTCCTTCTGCTCCCCCTGCTCACTCCTTCTGCTCCCCCTGCTCCTGCTCCCCCCATCCCCGTTCTCTTTCCCATGCCTGACACCTTCGATTGATTGCCCGTTGTGCGAGCATTCGGCTCAAGATCTTCCGTCGTTACACCCACAAACACGTTGTTTCGCACGTGCCTGGGCATTGGCATGTCGCTCGAGGAGCCGAAGTGGGCGCTGAAGCGCGGCGCCGACGAGCAAGGCAGTCAGGAGCGGAAGAAGCTGCCGACGCAGATCGGCGGCAGCGGCACCAAGCAGCAGCTCCTAGAGCGCATGATAAAAGTGCTCGCCGCGCTGGCTCTCACGCAGGAGGCCGAGCTTCGAGAGCAGATCGCGGCGGTCTACCACACCTTCCTCATCCCCGCCGCCTCGCCCATTGCGTCCGCGATGAAGCGGGCGGGCCAGGAATACCACGCCCACGCCAAGCAGCTGAAGGCGAACGGCGGGCAGGACGGAGGATGCGGGGGCCACGACATCCTTGGTCCGCCGTTTCTTCACGTGTTCAAGGCGCTGGTCAAGGCAGCACACGAGACGGCGGACCTCAATCAGACGCACTGCGAGACGATCGAGGCTTTCTGGACGAACCAGGTGCTGAAGGAGGATTTGCACTCGCTGGCGGAGCAGATCCGCCTCGGGAGGATCAAGGACACTCGCAAGAAGGAGAATGCATGAGAGATGATGAGGATCATGATCTGCTTTTCGAACGACTGGCGGGACCTCGAGGCGGCGGTGTGCTCGGCCATCAAGACGGGGAACGGGGTGAAGAAGATCGGCCCACCGCCGAGGGGCCCGCTGGCGAGGGATGCCTCGAAGTTGCTTGAGGAGCTGAACAACCTCAGCTGCGACGCGTGGCGCCTCCTCAGGGCATCGGCCACGCGGAGGGGGGGGGCATGCGTCAAACCCGGGCCCTTGTCAGGGGCCTGGACCGTCTGGCAGCGCTGGAGAAATTAGGCGCCTGGCTGGGCGCCTTGAAGTTTTTTCAGCGCGACTGGCTGAGCTTCTCATGAGGGGCCATTCGGATCTTGGAGTTGCACTCACGTTTTAAGGGCTCGCGAAGGTCGTTTAAGGCCCCCGGGAGATTCGGAGAAAGGGAAGGGACGGGGTACGGCGGGGAGTGGGCGGGGGTGGAGGGCAGTAAGGCGCGCGGCTTGTGCCGTCAGGCCCACGCGTGGGCCATCCACGCGCCGTGGCGCCTGCAGGCCAGTCGCGGGATCCCCCGTGCAGTGTGCCTGTCGTCATTCTTCAGTTGGCGCACGGAGCGTGCGTCGCCGATGCTTCGATTTCGAGACTCAGAGACCAGAGGCGTCAATGGTACTCTTATCCTAGCTCACCCTCCTCCTCTTCATCCTCAGGAGCTGCCTGGGCCCTGAACCCGAGCGAGCTCCAACCGCGCATTGAGGCTTCACGACACATGATGCCCGCGGCGTAAGAGGGCGGAACGCGAGTGACAGGACCGACCCGGGACAGCAGTTTCGCACCGAATCACGCACTTTCCCACCACACTCGTTGGTATCGCAACAACGCTTATCTTTCAACATTTCCAGTGGGTGGGTTTTTCTCGACCAACGGAGATATCGACGCAGTCGAAGAGCACAGAAATCGCGGCATGTATATCGGCACGGGCAGTTGGGCAGGAAGTGATGACGCGACCGCTACGCAGCGTCAACCACCGAGGCGCAAATGTGCGCAAATGGGATGGACGAACTCAAAAACTACTAACACATCTTGCGTCCTGGCGACCATGCATGGCGAGCGTATGTCTAGCATGTTGCAGCAGGTTTTCCTGCCGCCCTCCAGCTTGGACATCGCAGATCGCGCGCGCATGGCGCGCATTGCAACGAATGGGGTACCAGTCGCGATTTGCCCCATTTACATTCCGCCTTAAGGGCATGGCCGCTCACGCACTGCGGCAAGTGTGTAATAAGCATTGTACGCTGGCTCTCAGGAAAATAAGACAAACTTGGGCACGCGTGTACCCCACTCGCGGTTGGAGACTGGAAATGCGGCCGCTGTGCACGAGCGGACAAGACTGGCGAAATATTCGTCGCGTGCGGTAGTGGAGAAAGAGGCGCGGCTGAGACGCCACGGGAATCGCAGGTATCGATGATTGCCAGATATACCAGCAGGCACGACGCGTATTGGAAGATTGGCCCCACCGATTTCCAGGGCCAGCATAGCAGCCTTGTCGACGACATAGCGGGGCCAGCCAGCATGCGAGAAAGGACACAGCGACTCAATGCATTTCTTGGACTGGGCAGGAGATTGCAGATTTTCGTGGGCGCGCGCGCACTTGCATGGTCATGCACCAGCCCGAGTCTAGTTTGACATACGACCGCAGACGGCATTTGGGGGGAAGCACGCCCCCCCCCCCCCCGCCAACTGCGACGCAAAGATGGCAGCAGACAGCTCAGGCGCTGGACGGATCGAGTTTCTTAAAGCACTGGAGTTCGAGGCGGCGAGCATTCCCGAGCACGAGTGGAAGGGGATCTGGAATCGGGGAAACGCTCAGAAAGCGCGGAGCACACTGTCGGAGGGCATTCGACCAGCAACGCAGAGAACATTCCCCGCCAAGAAGTAGTGCATCGTAGACTACGAGGTCCAAAGACCAAGCAGAGTTTAACTACTCGAACTAAGGGAACGGCTACGAGAACAACTACATGCGACTGGGAATAAAAGATTCCAAGACGACGGATCCATCATACTTGACGTGACGGAGGCCGAATTCAAGAGGTTATCGCGGAGACTATTGGGTTTGCGTAGATCCCGAAAGCAGGACAAATCGAGAAGCTACGTGCAGAACTACGGCAGGCTTTGAAGCACGGGCAACGCGCAGAGGCATTGGGGGGGCGTTCGTTAAGGCGCACGCCCAGGAAGTTCCGACCCTGGAGGTTTCCTGATCTGACGGGGGCGGGGGTCATATCCATGGCCAACACACGATTGGGGCCCCGCGGGCTTCCAGACCCCGGCGTCCTCATCGAATGGGCCATTTTCCAATGCCCTCGCCGTGCGCGGACTGAAACATGGAATGGCGCTGCAGGAATGGCAGGGCGGACTTGGTCAAGCGCTAGAAAATCGAGGCGCGGATTGCAGACAACTGGACTGGGGTGCATGGGTGGACGACGAATCATTGTTACCGCACATGTACGACGCATCAGAGTTGGGCGATTCGATGCGACAAGATCGAGCAGGTCTGATCACCAAACTCGAGATGGCGCCCAGAGCGAGAGCTGGGCCCGCGCGGGGCGCATTCTCGGAGTGGCTGCGCATGGGCACTGACCGAAAGCGGCATGCGAGTCAGCATGGCCAGAACATGGTGCCAGTAGAGTTTTCCAGGCGACCAGGCGACGCAATGATCTGCAGGCGTTAATCCGTTTGACAGGCTCGTGCCCACTCACAGCCATCAGTCCACGGGCTTACGCAGCGCCCAAGGATAACGCCAAGCAGGGGGTCGAGGGCCAAGGGGTACTCGATTGCGTTGACTCGTTTGGAACGTCGTACATCGGACACCTTTAGAGGACTCCCAGGAGTCCGAGCGCACCAGACTTCACGCGCGGGCGGCAAGGGGGATGGCGACGAGAAGGGGGCATGCGAAGGATAGCAGCAGCACGTTGGAGACGCCGCGCATCGCACAGAGGCCGCGGCATGTCAAACTACGACGGCACGAACGCGTTCGCCTGCACATCGCGAGGCAAACGACATGCAATCACCACGCATGCTGTAGGGTCGAGAACGCGCACCTCGTGATACAGGCATTAGATCAGGCCACGATCTACATCGAAGCGATTGACGGCTAGGCTGACTTCTCGCCGCAGCCAGGCACGATCATGTGCCACTCGTCGGCAGCAGGCGGTTGCATGGACATCTGTTCCGCAGCAGCCAGCGAAGAGAACGCGCAAATTAGTTGTTCAGATTGTGCGCACACGTTTCCTGCAGGGGAGAGTGTCCGATCAGCAAAGAGATTGTGGACACAGGAATCAGCGCGCTGGTGGATGACGCCCCGCGGGTGCATGTTCACGCATGAGCACCTCGAGCCAAGTTCATGCCACAACAGCTGAATCACGCGACAGGCGCGATGCAGCAGCGCGTCAACATGAACGGGTGCCACCTGGACGCAGACAAGACGAGTCGCATGATCGCACTTGCAAGCGCGGGCTCCTGCGAGGCGGCGCGGGGCATAGGGCGCCCGGGTAGAGTCAGAGCAAGAAGACTTCAGGAAGCGCGGGTTCCGGGCCCGGCCACTGGTCTCGACGGGGCACTGCGCGCGGAGCCCAAGGACCGCGTCAGAGGAGCACATGTAGCATGGCGTTCAATAGGACAGGTATGGCCCACGCACCTCCCGTACAAGTTGCACCGCATGGTTTTTTCGTTCACCATTTTTGTTCACGATCACTGGCCTCGCTGCGTTTCCGCTGCCGAAAGAACTCACAGACGAGCTGGGCCCGGCGCTGGCTCGGCTTCCCAGGTGTCTCATGAACCGCAGCGCGGCCAACGAATGCGTCGACGGACGCGCGAGGTCTATCCCCAACAGAAACATCAGCCGCGCGGCCACAGAGCTGAGGATCCAGCGGGTTCGCCGGTGGCAGAGCATCCCGAGCGAACCCGAAAAAAACACCGCCAAGTGCTCGCAGCCATGTTCGGGACAACAGAGCTCGACGCGCAGTTGGGCAAGAGCAGGATCAACGCAGCGGGCTCGCTGACAGAGCGCTGCGCGCCTTGGGCAAGACGGCTCCTGGAGGACACGCAGTGCGCGGCGAACTTCGCGAGCTACTTGGCAAGGGCTGACATAAAATCGCGTTGGAGTTTTCCATGACCTCGCCATCATGACGACCTTCTGCATGGTCGAGGTAGACCCGCCCCCGCTGCGCGCCGGCATTGACAAGGATGGCCAAGGGCACAACAACGACTCGGGCCCCAGGAGGTATCGGAGGAGGAGGCCATCAGGATGGGGTTTCTAGAGATGCAGGGCGACGCAAACAGCCGCGGCAGCATCCAAGACGAGCGCGCATGCGCGCCCGAAAACGAAGACGGCACGACGCGCGCAAGCACGCGCAACACCATGACGGCGCTTGCGGCGCACGTCGCGCACGCCCACAAGATGAGGAGGATGTACTCGCTAATCGTGACCGGTAACGCGTGCCCGCGGCGCCGCACAGCTGTCGCCAGACGTGAATTTTGCCTTCATTATGGTCGTGCGCAACCCGCGTTCTTGCCCTGCACGCGCTGCGTCTTTTTCATTGCGGCCCGGAGCGCATTCTGCATGCCACTGCGGTGCCTGCAGCCACGAGAGCACCGAACTGCAGCATCACCTGGACCACGTGCGACAGCGCGCGCCTGGCCCTGACAGGCCCGACCAACATCAGACAGAGGAGCTCGACGTGGAAGGCGCCCAGCGCAGCGAAAGCTGGAAGACCAAGGGCGGAGGCGACGGGGGCGGGCGCAGCGCCAACGCGCGTGCGCAGGTGGCAAGGCGGAGAATTCAATGGCACATCAGTTGGATCCGCCAACGAGGGAAACAAGGGCGACGAGACGGTGACCATCGAGAATATGCGCCCAACAGCGCGCGGATCATACGGCAACTATCGGGCAGTTCGTGGGGCCTTACTGGATAAAGGGCGACCGCGCGCCGTCAGACGCAGGGGCGTCGGAAGGACCAGAGTGCGCAGGCAAGGTGGAGAACGGCAATGCGCACATGGGGCCGCCCCGCGCGCACAGCAGGGCAGCGTTCTTCGACGAGCTGGCGCACCTGGCCACCGCGCCGCAACCGTATAGGGACCCTGGAGCACTTCGCCATAATGCCTGGAACCAGTCACCAGGATTTGTCTGGAGACATCCTGCCCTACTTCAGGGTGGAGAATGCATCCGTGGAGCCGGGAGAGCAACCAGAGGGACGGCGCACATCGCGTTCAATTCGCTGGCGATGAGTGGGTGGACGAGCGAGCATGGGGACACAAGCAACCAGATGCGCGAGGAGTAGGGCAAACATCGCCACAAGCTGCAGCCGATCCAGATATACCATCTCCGCGCGGCGACGCGCGTGGCCATCACGAACAGCGGGGGCGATGCGATCGCCGGAGCGCCGCCTCGGACGGCACTCGGGCGCAGGCCGCGGAACTACCTGCGCGACCGCATCGCGAACGTGTGAGCTGGGCAGCAGGCAGGTCTGCAGCAAGAGGCAGGCAACCAACGAGCCAGAGAAACAACAAGTTAGACGACCTCATCTCCGCAGGCTCGCTGCATCAGGTTGCGTCAGAGCGGCAGGGCTTACCCAGGGACTTGGCAAGAGATAGTAGTTGGGATCGGCGGGCGAGGGGCGCGTGTGTGTGTGGGGTGGGGGGGGGGGGGGGCGGGGGGCTGGGCTCCGCAGCGTCGCTGCATTTCCAAGTCTCAGCAGCTGTTTCTTTTTGTTGGATTTTGCAGGTGCGTATTGCTCGGCCCCCCACGAGCGCCTTTCTTGTGAGTGGGCGAACTAGAGTAGTAGAGGGCCCAGCAGGTGAAGGAGGCATGGGGGGGGCGCGGTGGGTAGTTTCAGCGAGAGGGTGGGGTGTGTGTTTGGGGGGGCCCATGCGAGCGCAGTTTCTCGCAGGGGCGGTAGGCCCACGCCGAAGCAAGTTTCGCACCCATCCCGATCGGCGGGGGTGGGCCCAAGCGACATAAGCCACGGCCCATGGACTGTGAATTTGTTTCTTTGACGAGGGGGTTCGGTCCCGTGCCGACGTGGGTCCAAGGCCACTTCAACCAACAGGGTCCCACGGGCCCCCTCAAGTGTCAGGCTTAAAACCAGGCAGCAGCCAAAGCGTTCGTCAGCTAGGCGGGCCGCGATCGATCGGCCACCGAGAGCATGCGCTGCCTTGGCATCCGACTCCGACTCCGACTCTTCATCTTTCCCCATCGCCATTTGACACTTTGGCCTCTGGGTTGCCGCGCCGCCGCGCCCCAGCGCCTCGCGAAGGCGCACTTGCAGCTACTGGAAATGGCGGCTGTGGCACCCTGCTCCAGTGGACCAAGACTGGGGCGAGCGCTTCGTCACGAGTGCGAGCCGGGCGACATGTCCCCAGCAACTGGCGCGGGCGGGGCCTCGGCTCCTTCCTGCGCTCTGTGGGCGGCGCTCGTCCCGGGCGGAGGTCCTGGCGGGCCCTGCCCGGCGAGGCCCTCCGCGCCTGGGCGCGCGCCTCAAGTTCTGGCTTGCCGTGGGGCAGTTCGCACGCACTCTTTTGGTCGGTTTCCATCCGGAGGGAAAAAAACGCAGACACAATGAATCGTCGATCCCCAGGAACATGTGCACAAATATAGGGAGTGGGGGGGAAGACGAAGATCAAACAGATATTGAGAAATAGGGGGAATCCTGTTATTTGTGTGTCTTTACTTGTGTGTCCCAGGGCCCCTTCATTCCTCCCTGCACTTCGCGGGCGGCGTCCGTCCCAGGCGCGGCGTCCCGGGCGCCGCCCAGCGGGCCGTGCCCAACCATGGCCGCCATGCCTGGGCGCACTTCAGTCGGCGAGGACCATCGAGGAGCATCCTTGATCATTTGGCGAGAAAGCGACGCACGAAACCGAACAAAAAATACAGGGAACGGACGTCCGAGCGATGGCCAGGGGCGCGCCTCAACTTTTGGCCTGCAGTGGGGCATCTCGCGCGCATTCTTTTGGTCGGTTTCCTTCTTGCACTTCGCGGGCGGCGTCCGCCCCAGGCGCGGCGCCCCGGGCGCCGGCCAGCGGGCCGTGCCCAACCATGGCCGCTGGGCCTTGGCATCGCTCGGAGGTGTGCATTTTTCTCGCCGCGGCCTGCGCGACGGGCGTGGATTGCGCCACGGCGACGGCGATGGCGACGGCGACGGCGACGGCGACGGCCCGGCGTACTCCAGTTTTGGAGCTGCAGTTAAGTGCGGATCCAAGTGTTTGCGGTCGTCCATGCCATGTGTGTTTGGCCCCTTCGCTCGCTCGTTGTTCCCAGGTTTGTATTTCAGGCTTGCCTGTCGACTTCGCTCGGTGCGGCTCTTGTGGAGCTGCACAACGAACGCCTGATCAGTATGCCGGCGCCGGATGTCAGATGTCCTGCGTGGCTTGATGCGGGCGGTTGTCGTGAAGCTACTCAACGCCTTTGGTGGGCGGGTGGTGGCTCGGCAGTAAGGCTTGGGCAGATCCTGTCTAGCCGATCGCCCAGCCGCTAGTTTCCAGCGGCGTCAGGATACATATTACTCGTATAGTCGAGCCGGCCCGCTTTCTCCACGGTGAGGATCCGTCCGCGGTGGTCGTGATTTCTAGAAGTACAAAGGTGTGTCCAAGGTACGCTCTGCCACTCAACTTCTCTGTCAAGTTTCTCGTCGCGCATAGTGTTGGGACGACTTGCTTGTGTCTCACCCCCCCATTCATGGATCCATTCTTCACATGATTGGGTATTCTCGTCATTGGCTTGTGTCTCAATCTATTTGGGACAGCTGTATGGGACTTCAGGTTCGTGTCGCATTGGTTGGTCGAGGAACCTGGAATACCGGTGGAAAAGCCCAGGGTGCAGGTTGGGTCGTGAAGTACGTCTACGTGGCGCATGGCTTCCTATTCTGAGTGGGGGGGCATCGAATGTCACTGGCATCGCCATTTGTTCCTGCTACTTCCTCCTCCTCCTCCTCCTCCTCCTCCTCCTCCTCCTCCCTCCTCCTCCCTCCTCCTCCTCCTCCTCCTCCTCCTCCTCCTCCTCCTCCTCCTCCTCCTCCTCCTCCTCCTCCTCCTCCTCCCTCTTCCCCCAAGAGTGTGCGCGGTTCGGTTTGTAGGGCTGCGTCGCAGCCAGTTGCGGTCGTTTTGTTTGGCTCGGTCGGTTGATGGGTCGTTGTTGCCGCGCCGTTTTTTTGTCGGTTGCCTTCGGCTCCTTGATATTCATCAATTTCGGTTGCGCTGTCGGTTTTGTCGGTTTTCGACTGTGCTGCCGCCGTGGACGGCCCTGTTTCCCCCCCGCGCCCCGCGCCCGCACGCGGCGGGCGAAACATGTGTCCGCGTCCGCGGCCTCGCGGGCGGGGCCCTTTGGCCGCTTTTCGCGGATGCCCCGCGCCGAACGCATCCGTGCGTCGGGTGACAAAATGCACTCGGCCCGGATTAGTAGGTGGACCCTGCCAAAGCAAGGGTACTTTTGTGTCCTGTGTCTCGCGGCCCGTTCCTCGCCTGTGGCACTGGGACCCTCGGAAGGGTCTTGTGTCCTCTCGCACGCCCTGCCCAGAGGAGTCCGACCGCAGATCTGAGACCGCGACTCCACGGACCTTTCCCGGGGGGTGCTGTCCGACCATTCTTGCGAGGACCGTCCGGCCGTGGCGACGAGGGCTCTCTCTCCAGGACGAGCCGCGGCATCGGTGCCTTGTTCCCCCTCCCGAGTGCGGCCGCGCATCCGCGGCCCCGGGCTCCAGGCCAGGGGGGCGCGGATGCGGACGTGCTCGCCGCTCGTGCACACCTGTTTTTTTTTTCCTTCGGCGAGGACCATCGAGGAGTATCCTTGATCATTTGGCGAAAAAGCCACGCACGAAACCGAACAAAAACGCAGGAATGGGCGTCCGAGCGATGGCGAGAGAAGCGCCCCCCCCCGCGGGCCGCCGCCGGGCAGCAGGACCTCGGCGGGCACCAGGACCTCTGCGAGCGGTACGAGATCCGCGACCGCAGGCGGAGCGCCTCGGGGCGTGCTTTCGGGGGGGGCCCTGACCGACCGTCCGCTCGACTGCGGGCAGATCGGGGGCAACGCCTGGGGGGGGGATTCCAGGCCGCCCACATGGGGGTCCGCGCTTGGCATCGCTCGGACGTGTGCATTTCTCTTTCGGCGAGGACCATCGAGGAGCATCCTTGATCATTTGGCGAAACAACCACGCACGAAACCGACAAAAAAATAGGGAATGGACGTCCGAGCGATGGCGAGTCGACGGCGGGCAGATCGGGGGCAACGCTTGGGGGGTGGATTCCAGGCCGCCCACATGGGGGTCCGAGGGGACGGGGTCGCGATGCGGCGCGATGTGGAGCCCAATGTCCACCACGCCGGCGGCGCCGATGCATCGCTGGTGCTCCGGCGATGCGGCGCGATCCTCCGCCCCCATCTGGTCGGACCCCATCTGCGAGGCCTCCAGACATGGGCTCGGGGGGAGCCGCATCGACGCCCAATCGCCCCTTCATCGCCGACAGGGGCCCGCTGGCCCTCCCCGCCCACGAGCGTGCGGAGTCGCTGTTGGGGGACGTCAATCCATCGGCGACGTATCGTCGATCCCATGTCGATGCCCACCCGCCTGCGGAGCCAGTCCCGCACCGTTGCCCCGGAACGCAGAGTGTCCTTGGCATCGCTCGGGAGCGAGCACTCTTCCTCGGCGAGGCCCCTCGAGGAGAATCCTGGCTCCTCCCGCGGAGACTGCGCAGGACCCTCGAAGACCCTCGAGGAGAACCCCTGGCTCCTCCTGCGAGGGCCGCCGAGGCGAATCCTGGACCCCCTTGCTCGGCGACGACCCTCGAGGAACATCCTTCAGGAGAGGAAAAAACACACAGACACAATTCATCGTCGATTCCCAGGAAAATGTAGGAAAATATGGGAAGTGGGGGGGAAGGCAAAAACCAAGAAAATATGGGAAAATATGGGGGATAGTCTTATTTGTATGTATTTCTTTGTATGTCCTGGGGCCCCTTCAATCCCGGCTCCTCCTGCGGAGACCGAGCGGCGCCGCGCCGGCACGGCCTCGGGGCAGGGGCGTCCGCGCCGCGGCAAAGGATGCCTCGGAGGCGGCCGGCGGCCCTCCCCCTCGGCGTGCCTCGGCAGCTTCTCGGGGCCTCACGGGGGCGCGGGCTGGGCCCGCCAGCCCGCCGCGGGCACGGAGGAGGAGGAGGAGGAGGAGGAGGAGGAGGAGGAGGAGGAGGAGCGCGACGCTCGCATTCTCCAGCACCGCGATACACAGCACCCGACCCACACCGACAAGCACGACAGAGACCAGCACTACGACCAGCAGACCTACGGAAGCACCGACTACGAGCATCACGCCCTGAACGGGAGGGAGAGACATGGTTATGGCCATTTGGTAACATGTGACAGTGATGGATTCATACGTTTCGTTTTCCCAATTACAAGTCAACCATGATTGATGCCAATTTCGCACCGTTGAAGTTCGCATGTGTTCTTTCAGAAGACATGCCATGCTGGTTTCGGCCAAACACGTTGCTTCCACATCATGACAACAGACACCACCCGTGATACACAGTGGGCTACACCACATACGCAACCACACACGTACCTTTAATTCACAGTCAAGGGACAGTCATTTTCACACGCCTTTTTAGATACCTCATACAGAACAAAGCTCTGGGTGGTCTTCACATGGGGGCAGCCTGGACAGTGGACACTGTGTGGCACAATACATGGGTACGTCACGTGTTACACAAGTCGCAGCATACAAGAAAACGTCAGCACAGCGGACACCTGGTTTGACATAACCCAGCCTGTCGCGATATCGAGTGCGTTGATCAAGCAGAGAGTCGAGGGCCTACATTCAACGTTGCTGATTGTGTCTCCAACCATGGCAATCGTATTACACGTTGCCTGTGTTACTAGCACGGTCCAGTTTCACGTGACTTGGCACCTGACCCATATCGACTAGCACGACAAGGACACACTCTACAGTGCCCGTTCCACACCTGGCATGGGAGCCATAAGGAATACCTCCAGTAGGAGCAAGGGTGCTCCTAGACGGCATATAACATGCCAGCCCCATACCTGGGAATGGAGCCGAGAAGGCAGTATGGGTCGAGACGAATTTCCAGAAAGTAAACCTTCGATTCTGTTAGCATACTTGTCCCAGCAGGTACCGCAGCAGCCAGACTCGAACATTTCATGATTATAATGATTTCAGCCTTCATCGCCCTACACATTCGCGCCACGTTCGCAGGACAGGTGTCGTACATACCGACAGCGACCGACGCGTTTGTTGTTCAAACAGACAAGCAGGCAAACGCCATACGCTTTGTCTACCGGCCCACCCTCCCCATTCACATGACGCATTCAGCAAACAATGAGGACCATCGTACCAGAGAGCGGGAACTACCCATCGAACAACAACATTAACCTTCCACCGAAAGGAACGACGACGACGGCAACGACGACCCCCCACCCCCCCGCACTACTCAAGACGCGGTGCAAAACGAACTCACAAGAGCAGTCACGCAGTGCCACCCCGACACAAGACGCCCCATCGGCTGCACAGGTATTACGAGCACAAGTGCAGCCGAGCAGACAGGACGACGCGACCGACGCACGGACCGACAAACCTTACGTGTACATGTCGTTGCATGTGGGATTCGAGTACGTACCACTTCCCACGTCCAAGGGGTGAGCACGAACAAGAAGACAGGCAGACATCACAACCGCCTACTTGCCCGACAACAACCGACAGTAGACGCTCCTGCATCAACGGTTTTAACAAGCTCTACAGAAGTGGGTAACCGACCCATGCCACACAGGCTGCATAACACACTGGTCGCAGAGACCAGCCAGCATCCCGCATTACAGACGTGTAGGCTACATCAAGTGCCAGCATTAATTTGTGGAGGACGCGTCTACCGATTACGGAATACGGCGACCCCCGCTCGTCCACATGATTCGGCATGACCTGGACCATGACACCGACGACAACATGGTAAGACGAAGATGCCTATACTTCAGCGTAGATGGCACCGACAGAAACCCCTAAGGGACCTTGTACAAGATCTTCTACCAGCAGCATGGCAAACGGTGCGAGTTCCAGATCGACGAGGACTCCTGCGCACGCACCAAGTTCAACAAGGGGCAACAGGACCACGCTCCCCCGCTCTATGACCGACCCGCAACACAACAGTGCACCAGATTCAGAGATACTGTCACGAACCAACTTCTTAGCAGATGCCCTACGCACCTCAGGCGCCTCTACACTACGCCCACCTTGGGCCGCAGGCGTACTTAAGAAGCAGCGAAGACACACCGCACCACCATCGGCATGCGACCAGCCTGCATACGTAGAGATACACGGCGCGACTGATTACGAACGCATATTGTTGGACGCATGGACGTGTTCGGTACGCGAACAGCCCGAGCAGTTCCCACCCTAAAGACCTGCGCCACCTACGCACTACGGGCTGACTGCACCACCGGCTGCCTACCCCATGTGACCCCATACGATACGCCATTTAACCTAACACCAATTCTTGTAATACACCCCGATACTCACCTTATCCACCAACAACGCAGCCCCACCTTCATCCGACCACAGCCTACGCCAGAACTACCCCACCCCAGCGGACCACGAGTCCAGTTCAGACCCCCAAGGAATCTCAGGACCAGAGACAAAGTCGACATACCCGCGAACTTTCCACACGGCCATCCACCTTACTTTTTGGTCCAAGGTGAACTTGCCCAAGTATTCGCAGCAGAGCACGAACAGCACGAGCAAGGCAAGAAAGCACGACTGACATGTACAGGCCACATGCCAATTATTCCACCGCAGCAGCGCCTTCCGAACTTAGTTGTCAGGCCCAGGCGAAAAAAACAAGACAGCCCACCACGAGGCGTCAGCTACGAATGCACTCCGCCGCCAGATGCACATATACCCACGCCACCGACACAGACAGCGCCACAGCAGCAGCCACATCCGCCGCCTACCCAAAATCCATGGGGCCATGTCTAAGACAACTCATTCGACCTAGTCTACGACACAACCGACTCCGACAGCAGCGCAGACGAAAACGATCCCTGGGCCAAACTTGACGGCGCAGCAGACGCGCCGGAGTTCTACCTCACATCACTTCTCATTATGCAGGACGCGATATGCACTGCCCCAAACAAAGATTGGACTGCCTAGCCCCCCCCACCTCCACGCCTGTTACGGCGCGCGAGAAACAAGGTTACGACCCCCTAGGGTGACTCCACCCTTTGCAAAGCACACCCTTTGGAGCCGCCGAATGACACACTAAGGTACGTGCTGGCCCCTTGTACCCGGCGGGCGCCTACTCTTTTTACATCCTCGTTGCAGCCTCTTTTTTTCTCGCTTTATCCGCGGCGCCCGCCAGGTGCTTCGTGCACCAGGTCGGGTTTCCGTTTTCGTTTTCGCACATGTGCAAGAACGCCACATGCTGTTGCATCAGGTCCGCGCAGCGCCAAGAAGCAGAGGAGGGGGCCAGGGATGGACTTCCATAGGGGCCTGGGGTCCGATGTTCTGAGCGCAGCTGGGCCGGGCCGGGAGAGCCGCCGCCGTTTTCTCGGGAGTCTCGCGGCGGGGGGCCAGTGCAAGCGGGGGTCGGCCAGAGCGCCGGATCTCGCAGCATCCTGCAGAGCCAGGGCTGCATGCCACGGCCGTAGTACTACACAGCAGGTCCCATGTTCAACATGCCATGCTGTGGCTCTCGCGTCGCACGACACGGCTTCACACAAACAACGGACGTGTAACACATTTCGGCGTCGCGTCGATGTGCCGAGGATGGGCTGGCATCCCCCAGATTTCATGGGCACGGACTGATTTGGGCCAGGGATGCATTGACCCGGGCTAGCGCGCATGAGTGTTGCAGGATCTTGCAGAGCTTCATTGGCCCCAGTTTGCATGGTCGGAAGAAACCCCGGGTTCCAATTCCGGTCGTTTTGGATAGCACAGGCCAAAACCGATTTGGGCTATAGTAGGGCTTCGCGCTTGACGTTTGGTAAATCTCGGCTACTCTTGCCTCTTTGTGTTCCGCGGGGATCGATAACGGCCCCTGTCCAAGCTTCTGCGTGCTATCCCCGCTCCCTGTGTTGTGCTATGTGCGCGCTGTGCTATCCTCGCCCCTCCACCCCATGATCCCCCCTGTCGCACCCCGAGGCCAGTTTTTAGGGCGGGCCGGCCGTTTCGCCTGAGACATCCCCACCACTGATGATTCTGAAGCTTAACTAGCGACAGTAGTTTCACAGATGGAAGGCGTGCGGTTTTCAAAATGTGGTTCTCGCCTGAGCGCCGTGCGCATTCGTTTCCTCCTCCTCCTCCTCCTCCTCTTCCTCCTCCTCCTCCTCTTCCTCCTAGCCCCTCATAACACAGGTCAGCAGGATTGTGGGCGATGCCCCCGATCCTGCTGACCTGTGCTATGTTGGCCCCGCGTGTCTCCTCCTCTCCCTTCTCGTCCTTCTCCTCCTCCACCTCTTCCTCTTCCTTTCGACTGCGGCCATCAGCGTGGCTCCTCCTCCTCCTCCTCCGCCTTCTCCTCCCCCTCTTCTCTCTTTACAACTGTTCAATATGAATACTACTCTCCCTCTTCCCCTGGTGACGGCTTGAAAGTGTTAGCCCCCCCCCCGTTCTGTTTTTTTTTTTTGCACACAGGACTTCCCGGAGTTGGGTTTTCGCTTGCATCTTTTTCCAAAATGCTGCTCTCGCTAAGGCGCCGGCCCCATTTTCGGGCCCCGCTCGTTCCGAATCGTGCTCTCGCTGCAGCGCTGGCCTCATTTCCGTGCTTCCGCTCGTACCGAATCGTGCTCCCGCTGCAGCGTTGGCCTCATTTCCGCGCTTCCGCTCGTTCCGACTCGTGCTCCCGCTGCAGCGCTGGCGTCATTTCCCGTGCCATGCCACGGCATGCAATGCAATGCTACGTTGATACTACGCTTTGCGGTGCTCTTCGACGCCATGCCATGCTGTGCTCGACAATGCATCGCGTACCCTATCGGGATCGTTGCCTTGCTCGACATCCGACTGTGCGAGTAGAGAGGGGATCTACGCCATGGTAAGGGATGGGAGGGAGGGGCAGGACGTCAGATATGACGCGAGCGCACCTAGCTTGCCCTCACCCCCTCCCTCCCTTCCCCTCGCTTCCCCCTCACCCCTCCTGACTTGGTCCCGGCGGAACGGCCCACATAGCACGCGGCTCACATAGCACAAATCAAGGGAGCCCCCTTCTCTCGCCGCCGGGGCGGCGCTGTGAGGGGCGAGGCTTTTCCAATACACCCCCCTTCTCTCTTTGTTCTCTCTCTCTCTCTCTCTCTTTGTTTCCATTCCGTTGGCCGGCGGAGTCGAGAGGATTCGCGCGAAACGCGACCAACGTAGCACAAGTCAGGTTCGATAAACAACGTTCTCGATCCAAAACATGGAAAGCAGTTTGTATAGGTCAAACTCGCTTTCACGATTTGTGCAATGTTCGCCGTGCGATTTGTGAACGACCGAGTATAGGCCTCTCAGGCGGGGCCCGAGTTAGACAGGGTCGAAGACTTGCTCCGCATCGCCGACAGCGGCGATGCGGCTCAATGAGGATGGCGATCGCCTTCGCTTCGACGTCGCCGAGACAGCGCCGATGCATCGCCGACGCATCGTCGATGCATCGTCGGTGTGTCGTCGAGACGGTGCGGTCTTCCGACTCCATCTTGTACCCCATGTGGGAGGCCTCCACTCGCACGCAGTTTGGGAACGTTGGGGCGTCTTCGGAGCTCGCTTGAATATATTTCCCGTCGGCTCCCGGTGCCGTCCCCATAGCACCGGCCGCCACCTCGTTTATCATCCTGCTGCTTGTCTTTGGCGCTCACTGCGCCTGCTGCTGGGGCTCGTTCTCGTCTTCCCCGCTCTCGTCGTGTGGTGTGTCGAAGACGCCTGCGGCGAGTCGCGCCGCCCCCAGCTGCTCTGGAATCCTCGACGTGGCCAAGAGTCAAAGCTCTGCCAAGTTTGAATTATTGGATCAATCCTGTGTGCCTCCAGCCAGTATGGAACCCCCTGGGGAACACTTAGGGAGGAACAAAGTGGAGGAGGAGAAAGAAGAGAAGGAGGAGGAGGAGGAGAAGGTCTTTTGGGGCATTCTTGAAGTTTCCTTGGGGGTTCCTTGAGGCCTCTTGGGGGCCTGCGTGTGGCGATTTAGGGGGAGGTTCTGGGTCCGTATTGGGGCATTCTTGGGGCCGTCTTGGGCACCTTTTGGGCCGTCTTTGGACTCTTGGCCCGTGTTGGGGCCCTCTCGGGGGCTTTTGGGGCCGTCTCGGCGTTATATGGATGCCTCTGGGGCCGTTTTCGGCTGTCGGAAACCAGAACCTGTTAGCCAGCGTGGACCCCAAACAGTGAGATAGCACACCGTGGGCGGAATCTATGCGGAGTGTGTTATGTGGTACTAGCTGTGTCGTGTAGGCCAGTTTGCACAAGTCCTACGGTGCAAGCTATTTTGTGCAAGCTGTGCGATGTGAGCTATGTTGTGTAAGCTACGCGGTGCGACCCATGTGCTGTGAGCTACGGTGGAGGCGTTTGTTAAGGAGCAGTCTCAGGTGGCGCCAGACCCTGGAGGATTCCTTATCCAATGAGGGCGGCGGTGATACCCTTGGCCGGTCCACGATTGGAGTTCCACTGGCTTCCGGACCCTGGATTATTTATCCACTTGTTCTTTATCCAATGCCCTCGCCGTGTGTTCTGTGAGCTATGTTGTGCACGTTACGCGGTGCACGCTGTCTAAAGATCTCCACGGGCAGTTGGCGCAGGCCGTGGCGGCTCCAGAGCGAGTCGAGCGACGGCAGAAGTCGTTCAGCTTAAGTCGGGCCCGTCCCCCTACAGGAGGAAAATTCAAAACTAGTTAAAAATAGCCTGGGGGCGATGTTCTGACAATGTTCAAGCATGTTTGGATTTTTGTTTGTATTCTCAGCTTTCGCCCAAAATCCCCCTGTAGGCGGACAGGCCCGACCTAACGTTAAGCCTTTTTGTTGCGATCGGGGGCATCCAGAGAGCTCTCACAGCATTCAACACGGGGAACCCGCAGGAGACTCGAAGCGATCTGTTGTGCAACACTCCACCCCGTTCCTCGCGGCGCGATGCTGGATCTACAGTCGCAGGGAGCAAGAGGGCGCAGAAACAGAACAGCACTTGGAGTGCGAGAGCGGTCGGAGCAGATGCATGCGGCTTTTCTCCCGCTCGCCCCTTGCCATGCGGCAGCTCCAGGTGGGGTCGCGAGATACCGTGGGACTGCAGATTTTGGGAGGAGATTAGCCTCATCCCGAAGTCGCAGAATACTGAGACGGTTGACGAGCTCTTGCAGGGTTTCTTCGAGTATTATTCTAGCGGGGCTTTTGACTGGAGGGAGCACGCCGTCAGCGTGCGGTTGGCCATGACCGACATGGATCCGGCGTTAAAGTCGCGCTTGTACAGCCCATCCCAGCCTGAGCAGTGGTACATTGAAGATCCTTTCGACCTGCGGCACAACCTAGCGTCACAGTGCTCCCGAGGGGGCAGAGCGAGGATTATGGACAAGATTGGGGAGACCCTTCGCAGCATGAGCACGGGCGCGAACCCGCGCGCTGGCTTCGAGGCCTACTGCAAAACTGGGCCGACCAGCTGCATGATGAAGTGCCGAGTGCACCCAGTCGAAGAAGAAACAACCGGCATACACATAAACTGTCAGTGTTCCTCCCAGATCTCTCGGATCTGCGCTGGGCCCCCCCCGCGTGGCGGCGCCTCTGGCGCCGCCCTTTGGCGCTCTCCCAGCGCAGATCCAAGACATCCGCGCAGACCTACACAAGTTCATGTTTATGCCGTTTTTTGTTCCTCTGCCCAGAGAAGCTGTCAGTGGATCAATTTATCCCGGCGGCGCGCCCAGGGGGAAAGTGACGGGCGGCAGGTCTTCTCGGAGGGCGGCGTGGCTCCTCGGCTGCTCTCCGGCCTTCTGAGAAGCAGTTTCTGCCCTCGGGGAAGGCTTCGAAGAGTTCTCAGAAGGCCCGAGGCCTCCGAGCCTTCTGAGAAGGCCCGCCTCAGCTCTCTTCCTCCCACCCCCCCTGGCGTGCCGCCGACCATCTCGGCCTTCGACTCCGTTGGCGTTGGGCCGTTCCTCGTCCACTACCCGTCGGGCGCGCCGCGTGGGGCCGGGCGCCCTGGCGACGAGGCGGGAGGCCGCAAAATACAGATTCCTGAGCCCTTGCGGCCTGACTCGGAGACCCCCGCACGGAGTCGTGACCACACCGTGTGGTGAGCCAGTGGAGATTCGGGATCACCGCATGGTTTGGGGACTTGGGTCGTTCTCCGAGAATGTCTCGGGCGACAGAAGCCTCCAGGGTCCCAAAACCGTGTGGTGACGGAGCGCGTGGTGAAGTCCGACTGGATTTCGAGGTCACCGCACGGTCAGTCACCACACGCTGGTGGGGCCCCTAAACGATGTTGTTTTCCGAGGGCAACGTTTTGCCGACGCCCCTGCATAATTGAAACATACGGTGTGGAATCTCTCGCTCGCACGGCACCATAATTCCGTGTTCATTGCATCTTGGCACAGCGCCTTCGCCAAACATCAGTTGGCAGCACATGCGAGTGTGACTATCAGATGTTGAATGTTGGCTTGTGACGTCAGTTGTTGGGAATCGAGGTTCGAGATTGGTGATTGCATCGTTCGTGCGAAGGTGTCAGCGAGTCCGAGAGGTATTTCTGCGATTGGTTTCATATCTCGATGCGTCCTCCTACTCGGCGGACAGCGTTGCAACTGCCGTGTTGCACGCGTAGTGCGTGTCTCGCTTTGTCGACCTCCTAGTCATCTGGCGGGCGGCAGGGTAGGTGTCGCGTCGAATGGGGACGGTGCGAATGTGAACACGCCTTGCGAAACACAGGAAAAAGATGTCATCGAAAGGAACCTGAACATTTTGCTTGACGAAGCCACAATCGAGCGGTCTCGCACAATCTGTGGTCGCCTTCTCATCTTTTAGAACATCGACCGATCGCGACCACTAAACCGAGTGCGAACACCAGGTTGTTCCGATTACGACACTGGTTGCGAGAGTGAACGCGAAGACAGTTGGACATGTGCTTGCCGATCCGAAGAGGCTTATGAGCATGAACGCAAACGACACAGCGACATCACGACACAAGCGAGATAACTTCACTGCACTTTCACACTGAGCACCAACAACGGATGTGAATGCGAGTTCACAAGCGGATGCGAAACGAGATCGGACACGGTTGACAATGCGAGGGGTGCGTACGAATCTGAGAGTTCATGTAAATGCGAATGCGGGAGAGAGGTGATCGACAGCAACGGTGATAACGTGCAAGTACATGGTAGGCCTGACATGAAGGAACCAGTCGCATTGAATATCTTCGATCCGGTGTTTCTTGAGCGGGTTTTGTTTATCCTTACTTTGACCAAGCGGACCCGTTCCCAATTGCTCCCCCCCCCCGATTGCCCGGGTAACAACCCCTCGAACCGCCCTCGACCAAGAAGTTACATTTCCGTTCCCATGCATATTCCCCATAGCAAATCAGATCATGCAATTCCATAGCCTTTGCATAGCATCGCATTGCACATGGTGGCAATGTATTCGCTGACGCAGCACGCATGGCATGGCAAAGCAAACCTATCACAGTATGGCACAGCGCATCATCACATTGCACATGTCTTCTCGTGTCTTGTTCTTTCCTTCGCTTTGTTTCTCGCGTTCGGCCTGTTGTTTCAGCTTGTACGGTGCTTGCGTCGGCCTTCGGCTTGCTAAAACTAGCGTGCGCGCCTAGATTGACGATAGCTTTCAGGTGGCTTGCTAGTTAATTTCACTTCAGGCCTACAGCATGCCTACATTAGAGCTGCTCTCGAATGTCGGCTTGCCTGTAGCAGCTGCAAGTCTGCCTCCAGTTGACTTGCTGCTTTTCAGACTGGATGTGACGTTCCCGCTTTCGTTTAGCTGGGCTTGAGCTTGCGTTCAGCGTGGCTTCAAGCGTGCCCGGAAGTGGATCTTTGGCGCGCAATCAGTTTGTTGAGTTGATGCGATGTTGGATATGTGCGAGTTTGCAGCTTGAGGACCGTTAGTGGTTACGACGCGCGATTATTTTGACGTGCTTTCGTTTTGTTGCCACCCTGCCTAGAATATTTCTCGACTTCGACCCGGAGCTGTCGTAGAAGATGCTCCCAGGGTGCATCGCGCGCGTACGTCTCCGCGAATGGCATCCGGGAAGTGTTTCCATGATTTGGTTTCGGTTCTGACGTGGGGAAATGCGCTATGCCAACATGTCCCTTGCATGTCTGCTCTCGGTATGTCCCTGAGGTGCGGGAGGCCTTTCTGGCCTTCAACAGCGAGAACGACCGCAGGATGGCTCTCGAAAATGCCTGCGGCGGCGTGCTCCTTGCCTCACCCCGGGGTCAGAGGCAGGGCCGAGAAGGGGGGACGTACAGGAGAGAGAGGAGAGAGGGAGAGAGAGAGAGAGGGAGAGAGAGAGAGATAAGGGAGAGAGAGAGAGAGGGAGAGAGAGAGAGAGGGAGAGAGAGAGAGAGATAAGACAGCGCCTTGAGAAAAGACGGACGGTGATCGTACCAAGGATTGGCGAGGTTACTCAAGTTATGCCGTCTCGGAGTTGACATAACCAAACTATATAGAGAGAGAGGGCGAAGGTGGCTGAGGGGGGCGCGAGATAAGGGGAGTGCATGGAGAGAAGAGGTGGGTCACATGGAGAGACGAGGTGGGCCACCACTCTGGACTCTTCGGCCCGAGCAGGAGGGTACACAAGCTGAACGAGACGTACGTTGGCGAGTGGCAGTTGCGGTTCCTGCTCTGCAGTTCGTGGGCCTTCCAAGACAGGGTTGCTCCCAACGCTCCCACTCGCACAGCCGTCCCCCTTCTCGGATTCAGGCGAGGGAGATCGGGTACAAGGGATCAGGGAAGGAAGGGGAGCAGGACGAGGAGGGGGGAGGGAGGATGAGGAATGAGAGGGAGGGAGGAGGAGGAGGAGGAGGAGTACGAGTGGGACGAGGATTCCGAGCGCGGCAGACGGACCCGGAGGTGGGCTGGAGGAGGAGCGCGGGGCGGGCGGGGAGGATTGCAGGAAGGAAGGCCCCGAGCCGAGGGTGCGGGACGAGCCCCCCGAGGATGCCCAGAAGGTGGAGACCTACGAGGAGCGGAAGGCCGCGGCCCCTCTGCCCGAGCCGGCCCCCGCCCCTGCTTTGCCCCCTCCTCGCCCGGCGTCTCGTGCCCAGCGCCCCCTCCTCCTCCTCCTCCTCCTCCTCCTCCTCCTCCTCCTCCTCCTCCTCCTCCTCCTCCTCCTCCTCCTCTTCGTCCTCCTCCTCCTCCTCCTCCTCCTCCTCCTCCTCCTCCTCCTCCTCCTCTCTCGTCCCGCCCGCCCCCCTCCTCGCCCTCTCGGCGCCGCCCCCTCTTCCCCTCAGCGCCCGTCCGTCGGGAGAGGCCTCCTCCGCCTCGCCCTCCCCTCCCCCCCCCCCGCCCACCCACGCGGGGCTCGAGCATCGGCTCCTTCGATGCGATCCGGTTCGATGTCGGTGGCTTCCGATTCCGATTCGGTTCGGTCTCGGATTCCGATGTGGGCTCCGACTTGTCAACGGTGTCCTACAACACCTGCCGAGTTCCGCCGGTTCGACTCTTCCCGATGCGGCTGCCGCTCTCCGCCGATCCGAGCGACTTCGGTCGCCGATCCGACTCATCGGCTCGATTTTGGCTTCTCCTGCCCATGTCCAGCGTGCCGCTCCTCCTCCTCCTCCTCCTCCTCCTCCTTCTCCTCCTCCTCCTCCTCCTCCTCCTCCTCCTCCTCCTCCTCCTCCTCCTCCCTCCTCCCTCCTCCCTCCTCCCTCCTCCCTCCTCCCTCCCTCCTCCCTCCTCCCTCCTCCCTCCTCCCTCCTCGCTTCGGCGCGGCACGCGGCACACTTTTTTGACCCGCGGGTCGAGAGCGCACCTCTTCCGGTCGAAGCCAAGCGGGCCGCGCACAGCCTGAATCAGCGAGAGGGGGGCAGAAGGAGGGGCCTCACATCAAGGCCAGGAGGGGGGCGACGCGCGACACGCGCCCCGGCCCCCAGGCGCCCCAACACGGCGATTTTTCCTCCCCGCCGCCCCGCCCCGCGGAGCGGAGCGACCTCGCCGCCCGCGCGCGGGGCACAGCCGCTCCGCCGGGCCGCCGCCGCGCCGCGCCGAGGGGCACCCGCCGGGGGCGCGAAGGCAGCCGCGCTTCTCGCGGGTCGCAGCCCGTCGAGGAGGCGCGTGGACTGGCGACGGGTCCCGTTGCCATACCGAGTCGGCGCGCTCCGCCACCAAGTCGGGCGGCATTGGCGCCATCCGGGGGCGGTAAAGAGGGGGGTGATGACCACGGGGGGGTGGATATCATGGCGGGGGCCATGGTATTTCCTCAGACTTTATGGCGCCTCTTCTTCTTCCATCACGTGCCTGGCCCCCCCGGCTGAGCCGCGCACGTGCCACCGGCCATGATTTGCACCCCCCCCTCTTGGACACCCCCCTCTCGGCCGCTCCCGAGCCATCTCCCGGAGCTGCCTGCTCCGATCCAGGGACCCCCGGCGACCGCGCGCCAGGTCTGCGCGTCCCTGCTCCTCCTCCTCCTCCTCCTCCTCCTCCTCCCTCCTCCTCCTCCTCCCTCTTTCCTCCTCCCTCCTCCCTCCTCCTGCGCCTGGGCCGGAGGGGCGGCCCTCCTCCAGGGTGCCCAGGGATGCCCGCGCGTCGCACAGCCAGCGGGGCGCGATGCGCAAAGCGGGGTGGCCTGGGCAGCCCTCCGCCGCGTCGCCCCTCCTGGGGGGGGGGGGGGCGAGGCCCGCGCCGGGCTGCCCGTGGAAGTCGCCTCGGTCGCTCCGCGGGGTCGGGTCTGGGCTCTGGCGTGGCATCGCTCGGACGTGCGCATTTTTCCTTCGGCGAGGACCGTCGGGGAGCATCCTTGATCATTTGGCGAGAAAGCCACGCACGAAACCAAAAGACGTCCGAGCGATGGCCAGCTAGCCCGGCGGCTCCCAGGCCCTCATTGGAGGTCCAGCCAGAGGGGACGGCGGGGATGGCGACCGCGGAGAGGAGAAAGGCGGAGGGCGGAAGAAGGGAGAGGAGGAGGAGCAGGAGGAGGAAGAGGAGAAGGAGGAGGGAAGGCGTGGTCCTGGGATCCAGCGATCTTTGGCCTGGGGGTACGTGTCCGACGGAGCCGTAGGTTGCGGTGGTCTGCTGAGCGGACCGCCTTCTCATAGGGCCTGGGGATCATCGAGGAGGAGGGCAGAAGAGGAGGAGGAGCAGGACGAATGGAAATCCAAGACTCAACGATGTTGTAATGCATCCTCCCTCCAAGCTCCCTCTTGAGTTCCACTGAGGGAACTGCCTCGTCTGGAGACAACTATTTGAAAACCTTGAAGGGTGCCATCTGGACTCCAACGCCACTGATCAACATAAATTTGGGTCTTGACGATGCAGAATCGTGCCAGAATGCCATTGTCAACACCGCGAATAAATTTAACTATTGCGCCCCACAGTCCAGAGCCGCTCCAAAACACCACTTCTGGCACGTTTACCATGGGAATCCGTGAACATCCTGCAATGTTTTAAAGCGAGTGTGTGCGGCCCTAAGACGAGAGCCGCATTTTGAACAGGAGCCGCCCTCAATCCGTGAAGTTCTTGCAATTGTTTCAAGACGAGTGCACGCGGGGTAAAGGCGAGACCCACATTTTGAAAACGGACCGCCCTCAATGCGTGAGGCTCTGACAGTGGTCAACACCACTGCGCGGCGCTAAGGAGAGAACCACATGCTGAAAACGACCCGCCTCCATCCGTGAAGCTCTTGCATATATGTAAAACGCCAGTGCGCGGCGCTAAGGCGAGAGCCACCTCTTGGAAATGGACCGCCCTCCATCTGGGAAACTGTTGCTTGCTTCTCAGGGGTCTTGGTGCAGAAGTCTCAAGCGAAACGCCCGGCCCGCCCTTTCGACCAGCCTCGGGGTGCGACGGGGAGGACTTATCTATTTGGAATGAGGAATGGTGGGGGCGGGAGGCAGGAGTGGAGAAGATGGATGAGGAGGCAGAGGACGACGAGGAGGAGGAGGAGGAGGAGGAAGACGAGGAGGAGGAGGAGGAAGACGAGGAGGAGGAGGAGGAGGAGGAAGACGAGGAGGAGGAGGAGGAGGAGGAGGCGGGCGGAGCGCCGAGGGGCCGGCGGGGTCTCCGAAGGTGGAGCCCCGCGCCACGCACCGGCTGGACGAGGCCGAGAAGACGGCGGAGGACGCGGGGGAGGAGGTGCGCCGTGGCCTGCGGGTGGCGCAGAACAGGACCGCCCCGCGCTGCCTCGAGCGTGTTTCTTTACTGCTTGGGGCATCTGGGCATTCGAGCCCCCTCCCCCCCCCCGCCCCTATAACAGAATGGAGGGTGACGGTTCATAAACGACCGGGGGTCGTGCTCACGCGGCGGCGCCCGGGATGACGATTAGAACAAACCGGCCGCGGGCTGGGAAACTACGTTTTTAAGCGTTCTCCGCCAGTCAGAAAGTTATGCAGAAACAGCAGAAAACTATGTTTTTTAATCGTTCCCTCCCATTCTTTTATGAATCGTCATCCCGCATTATTGCTTGGGGCATCTGGGCATCAGCGCCCCTGACCCCCACCCTCCCCCCCCCTATAACATCACGCCCCGACCCCCCAGTGCGCTCCAGGCACTGCCGCCGTGCGCCTCGGGCCCCCGGCGGCGGGGGGGAGGCGCTACATCAGACCCCCCCTGAGCTCCTCCCCCCCCCACCCTATGATGCCCACGATCGCCGGAAATGAAGAGACGCGCTCCTCTCCTTGCGTCATCGGAAGCGAAAGAGCCCCTAACTCTAAGAACACGACAGAGACGTGGCCTCACATG